AAAAAATATCAGTACTTTGCTGCTTTATCTAGATCAGGGTTCCCCAAAGTTTTCAATATTGACCCCCAAGGATCGATGGGATTATCCATTGTTATTGTTATTATTTGTGGTATTATTCGTTAAAGTAGTATTTATTAAATTATTTTCATATAAATGTTTGGGGCTCAGTGAACAATCTGAAACTTCATGAAGGGGTCAATGAGCTGAAGAGTTTCGGGACTCCTGATCTAGATAAAGGAATGTCATGTTTTCCATTGTTAGCTTTTTCAAATTCTCTCTTTACTTGATTTATCTACATTTGTTCTTCCAGAGCCTCCCCCACCTCCATTTTCCAAAACGTAAGTTGCCAATCTGTGTACTTTACTTGGGAAAGGGCTGAGGAATCAAATCTGGTTGTTTTCTTCAAACTTACTTTCACTAAATAAAAGAAAGGGGGTTCAGACTAGACATCAGGTCTAATTTCCTAGCTGTACAAGCTGTCAGCCAAAGGAACAAACCATCACATAAAGTGGTGAATTCTTCACTAGAGGACTTCAAACAAGGATTAGATCAGTGTTTCTCAACCTTGGCAGCTTGAAGATGTGTGGATTTCAACTCCCAGAATTCCCCAGCCAGCATGCTCTTTGTATATAAATGCTATCCCTGTTTTTCTGGTGCCCATTTGTCTTCTCCATATGACATTCTAAAATGAGCACCTAAAAAAATGGCAAAGATGATGTGCTAACCATCATGAGGCTCTATTTTCCTCCCTTTGTTGTTGAATGGCAACACTGAAACTCCAGCTTCAGTTGTTTCATGGGTTTTCTTTCAGCTGCTCTTTAACTAATGATAAATGTTCACTTCTGGGGTGATTTTCTGTCTTGGCTGAACTCCCACACAAGCCACCCGTGGGTGTGTTTTTATTGCCCTGAACCCAAGCAAAACCAGAGGTTCTTTGTTGCAAGCTGCTTGGGAACTGGTTGTACTAGAAGCAAAGGAAATGCTGCAGACTGGCTGGCTAAAATTAGTTGTTAACCACAGGGTCCTAATGCTGTTGCTTGCTGATGATCCCCACCAAATGTATCTCTGTCACATGTAGAGACAGACTAAAATCTTACAGTGCAGGCAGCCCCAAATACTTACAACAGTGGCAGAAGAAATGAAACATCCCAATCTCTATATGGGTGAGGTAACTTAAAGAATCCCACTGGATCAAATCAAAGTACCTTCTAGTCCTTATGATGAGATTATAAATTGGATGGCCCCTTTCCTTTTGAAAGGGTCACGTATTACAGAATTGCAGGCATAGGGCCATATTAGCATATAGATTTTTGAAGAAGTTCTATTACTTCCTCATTTAGCTGCAGGAAGCATCAACACATGGTTTTTGCAAGCATTGCAATGTATAGTGCTGTCCTTTGTGACACTCTCAGCTATAACTTCCATCTATTCAGTGGTGGGGTATCAAAATTATGCTCAGTGAGGTTTTCAGCTGCTCATCACACAGGGAGATACAAGGAAAGAGATACAAGAAGAATAATGTTAGATCTTTCTTCTGAGAAAAACTCCTAAACATTGGAAGTGAAGGACCCACAATGCTGAAAGCTTTTCAAGGTATGAGGATATAAAAGTAAGCATGTTCAGATGGGTTTCCACTGCCAGATGGCTGTAAAGACACACGAACTCCAT